TCAGTCTGTGGCTCCTACACCGGGATCCCACCAAAAAAAGCCCAAATTAGCTGAATAAGTGATGCCTGTGTTCAGCACCAAATGCCAGAGAACCTGTTACCATGGCTGGAATTTTTCTCTTGATCCAATCAACCTTTGTGTCCCTGCAAACAACCACGTGTCACCAGCCAAACACGTGCCAGAAGTTTTTGCCAGGTCTTCTCGGAGCATCTGGGCCGCATGCGATGTGCGGTGCCCATTCCTATGCGTAGAGTCCCCGAGGGCACCTCGGAAAGGACTGTTGGACCCTCGTGTCCCACGTGTTGATGGCATGGCCGGTGATCTGGACACACAGGAGATGCTCCCCCAACCTCCGTTGTCCCTTTGGGCACAAGGACAGGTGGGATGAGTCTGGATGCCGAGGACATCAACTCCATTGAGTTAAATGATGCTAAACATGATCTCGTGGGAGGAATTGGGGGTGACGAGTCAAATCCGTGTTTTTAAAAAACCTGTGTGTGGGAGAGAAGTGTTGAGCAAAGGTGAAGAAGGCACCAGTTAGCACTTCCCTCGGTCACACTGCCGGTGCCTGGCTGAGCATGAGCATCGCGTCTCGACCGTGGTCTCAGGGCTGGAAGTGGCCGTGGTGGCCTGGGGAAACATCTCCCAAGGGCTTGATGCTCTGGTTGCGGAGGCTTGGAGGACTCCTCTCCTCCGGGGCCATACGCGGCGTCTCTCGATGCAGCCCGGTCCTCAGACGTGGCTTTGCCTGTGCTGTTGGGAGAGGGGGAAGGTTCTTGAAACCAACCGGAGCAGAGCCATCCGTGCCGCGGGCTCCATCCTGGCAGCGCCGAAGTGGAGGGGTGTCCTGCTGCCCGCTTGTGTTGGGAGTGAGATTGGACCTTCTGCGATAATTCCTGATGTTCATTATTTATAGAGAAGCCAAATTGAATTATTAATACGGAAAATTCAGATAACATTAACAATTCTCAGTTTATAACAGTTTCCCATTAATAAGGAAAATTGGAAATTTATCACTACATCTGTTCATTAAAACTCACTATTTTTTTTTTTCTTTTGGTGTCTTAAATGAAAGCAGAGAAATAAACGAAGAGGAAAAGCCATTTATTCGCTACTTCTCTGGGCAAAGTCAGCCCATAATTTTTAATAAAGTCTTTGCCGATGCATGTGGAGGGGAGAGCAGCCTATAATGAAAGCAGCTTTTCAGCTGCGTTGATGGCGTTGCTCGACTGTAGAACATACACTCGGAAACATTTTCCCGTTTCTTGCCGTTGTGGGAAGCTCTAAGCTGCACGATAGTTTTCTAATTTCCCTCCCTCCCTCCCCAGCAGCTCTCTTTGCTTTCAGCATGCGTTGCTCCCGGCTCCGAGGAGTGAATTTTAACGCCTCCCCTGCTTCTTTCAGAGATGGCGGATTCCTATACCTGTAAAGGTGGAAGGAAAACTGCAGGCTCTAACAAACCCGCTGCCAGCAAAGAAAGCAGGACAGAGACGAGGATAAACCCACCGGCAGAGCTGCCCAAGCTCGGTAAGGAACTGAGATTTTCTTTCCTTGGAGGTGGGTGGGGAGGAGAGGACGAGACCAGGGGTTGGAGGCAGCTGCCAAAACAAGGGGGTGTGAGTGCGTCGGGTCTCGTCATGCCTTGGCTCCTCGCTTCGACCCACTGGTGAGGGCTGTGCTGGGCCAAAAAAGCCCCAGACCCCCCGAGCTGCAGAGAGCTGGTCCCTGGAAACAGGAGGGGAGGGATGGAGACGGCCTCTCCCTACCGAGAGGCGTGTGTCTGGCTTAACAAGATGGGTGTCTCGCCACCTATTTACCGTGTTGGTAGCTAAGTGTTACATCAAAGGGTGGAAAGGCTCAAATGAGTTCAGCCCATCTGCTGTCTCCGGTGTCGCTGCCCCCGGGATGAAGGCTTGTGAGCGTACGAGCCCCGGGGGACCCGCTTGCTAAGGGCTGTCGCTCTGATGGATAGCTGATTCCTCTATCCGGGAATCTCCAGGCCCGAGGAGATTTTTCTCCTGTCTGCTTATGCTGGGCAGATCCGCTCTGTGGGTGCAGAGAGCCTCTCGCTGCCTTTACCTCGCTGACGGCAGCCCTGGGCGCCGAGGGGTGCCTGCACCCAGGGCCAGGGGCGGACCCCAGGGGTGTATCTCAGACCGGGCATCCAGAGTCAGCGGCCTCGCAGGAAAACACGTGTGCCCTAAATGCTTCCCAAATGCTGCTCTTGAAGCTGTAATTGCTGACAGAGGGGTGTGAGTTGTTGGGAAGGGGAATGGACTCCAGCTGTCCGCAGTACGAACATACCTGTGTTCGGGAGAGCGCTTTGCCCTGCACCACGTCTTACCAGCACCTTTAAAAGTTGAAAAGCCTTTTTTTTCAGCCCTTCCTTCTGGTTCAGGTGGACTGAAAGCAATGAAACAGAGTGAACGATGTTCCTCGATGAAGATATTTTGTTGTTCTCCCTGGGAAAGTGCTGGAGGTGGAAGCATCTGCCAGGGTTCGCTTTGTTGGAGTGAATTAGGCCTCTCCTGCAGTCGCTTTCCCGGCCTCCCCAGGTGCAGCTGCCTGGTTGGTTCTGGGATCATTCATTTCAAGTCAGGTCTTGGTCTGGAGAAGCCTCGAGTCCATCGGCAAGCTGTCCCTGTTTCTAAAGAGCACACCATTTCCACCCAGTTGACTCGGCACATGACTGCAGTAACCTGCTGCAGGGGCATGCAGCTGCGGTGCCAGCTGTAACACTGAGCACCGTTGGGTTCATGCCTCCTGCGAGTGCCTATAAAGTCCAGGGTTTAGCAGAACTGGTGGGTGGTAGCCAGAAGTGGGACTTTGGAAGAGGAGATGTGTTTTCTGCTCCTCCACACCTGTCCTCGCTGTTCCCAGCCAGCAACTGATCAACGAGAGCATTGATGGGCGGCTGGACTGAGTGCTCTGTGTTTGGCACAAAACATCCCCAAAAGTTCTGAAACCTGTGCAAGTTGTGAAAAAGAGAGGAGAGCTGTCACTGAGCTCTTGTGCCAAGCTCCTGGGACAGGCTGCTGTGGGACGGGGATGTGCTGCTGTGGGATGTCTCAAATTTGCACTGTTTGGAAGTGTCTAGGAGTGAAAGCAGAAAACGAGGAGAGCAATAAGCAGATAACTGCAGTGTTGTGAGCTTTTGCTGCAAATCCTGTATTATTTGGTGGATTTTCATAACCTGCCAGCTCGTGTCCAATGATATGCACGAAACGTAGCTCTGTTCCACGTGTAGAGTGAGGCCCTCACAGGAGTGTGGAGGAAAAGCCTGAGCACGTGATCTGAGAGAAGTGGAGAAAATACAAAACACAGCGGGCAGCTGCGATGCACAGGTGTCCTTCATGGGCACTACGAGGGTTTTGCCTGAACCCTGCACCGTTGCTCCAGAAGGAGCACAGTTTGGGGCCAAGCTTGCAAAACCCTCCCCTCTCCAAAGGGCCGTGAACCGTTTTGGGGCAGGAGCTGGGCAGGTAGGAGTCCAAACTGAACAGGGTGTTTTCGAGACAGCTTAGAGGCTGCCTTGCAGGGTTGGTGGGTAAGTGGCTTTTTAGGGACTTTCTGATAGTCCATAAGGGTCACCACCTCCTGCAGACAAAGTGTTCTGGGCTAGAGAGATTCCCAAAGGATGCTACATCACCAAGTGGAGCAAACCAGCTGGCATGACTTCAGGGGACTGGAAATAAATGAGCCAGCTGTCTTGTTTGCTATTTTACCCCTGGCTGCTGGGGCAGAAGGCATGAAAGGGGAGAGAGCGTGTGGTTTTGGCAGTGCCTTTGTAGGTAACTGGTTGGCTTTCTGTTGAATCTCTTGGTCTTGTTCCAAAAAATCCTGGATTGGCTTCTGAGTATAGCCAGCGCCAGGCTTGGAGCTCAGCTCCCGTTTCTCAGGAGCCGATGAGTTTGCCAGTTCAGCTTCCAGCCTCTTCTTCTTACCCGATTTTCACCAGAGAATGGTGTTTTACAGGTTGAGTTTAGTTTTTTTTGATCTCGATTATCCTCTCGTAGCTGCTCTGGGGTTTCCTTCTCAGGGATGCTTTTTGGCTTGTTTCTGTCCTTGTAGCCGATGGCTTTTATTCCCAGTCCTGTTGATTAAGCCCTCCCAGATCTCACCCCAAGTTCTCTGTGCATGGCGTTTGCTGTTGGCTGCTCGATCTGTCCAGCTCATACGCTGACTCTGGGCATCACGGAAAGTTACAGATTAGCTCTGTTCCTGTTGGAGTGATGGGAGGTTGGATGGGAAGGTGGATTGATTTGGTGAGCTGCCCTCAGCCCCTGCATACAAACCCTGGTGACAGTTGTGTTTGTACCATTTTGCTCAATCCATTTTGGATGTGAAGTAGGTGAAGTCGAGGAATTTGCCACTGTTGTGAGCCGAAGTGTCTGGTCTGGGGCTTGGCAGTTTAACGTGCTTGTATTTGGTGTGCCCCATCACGAGATGTTGGAGACTTTGTAGTCTCTCCCGATTGTGCTTTCTGGGTGAACTGGGCACATTTCTGCCCTGCTGGCATTCAGCCCATGCTTAGGATGCCACGAGAGCCTGCTTCAAGCTCATGAAGAGCCATGACCCCTTGCAAGGGTGTCCCTGTGGTTTCACTTCCCCCACCTGAGCCCCCAAGCACTGCCTTGCCCTGTCCTCCCCCACCAGCTGACCTCATCCCTGCTGCTCCCCATGTGCTCATCACATCTCCTGGGCCACCCTCCTCCTGCAGCCCTGGGGCTGTGGAGCCACCCTGGCCGTGCAAAGAGGATGGGGCGTTTCTGTCCTCGACAGCCTGCCCAGGGCCCAGCGTGCTGACCTGGACACAGATTTCTCTTGCTAAGTAGTGTAGTAGTTGAAGGATTTCTTCCTATGGAAGAATGGTTTTCCAAAGCAAGCCCCAGCTGTGCTGAAACTGCTCTTTGTAAATGAAAGGAGAGGGGTTAGCAAACCCCAGGAGAAGCAGCTGTCTCTGTGCAGGCGTCTGCAGGTGTAGGGGCTGTGCACTGAATTGCAGTGGGGCTGGCGTTGCCTTCCAAAAGGGAATCTCCATCCTTGCCAGGGCTGGAGCAGGGCAGCCCAGAGCCAAGGCAGACCCCATGCAGAGCGAGGGAGCCGGCCAGGCAGCAGGATTGCCGGGACGGTGGCTCCTCCGGCATGGCTGGCCGGACAGCGGGTGACGTGCCATGTGTCTGTTTGCAGGAAATGCAACCAGTGACAAAACCGAAGGCAGGAAGAAAGGACGACCCAAGGCCGAGAACCAGGCGCTGAAAGACATCCCTGTAAGACCCCGATGCCCGGCCTGCCTCACTCCCTGGGACTCGCCCTCCGTGCCTTGCTGCACCGTGCCCCTGCGCGGGGTTAACCCTGCCTTCCCGGTGGTTTAATCTTCAGAGCAGCCTTGTCTTGAGCTTGTCAAGGTCTTGCCCCTGAATCCCCTCCATGCGAGCACCCAGCATCCTCCAGAAGCCTGGTGGGGAGCAGTACCCCCACTTCAGCCCACCCTTCATGGGACCATTCCCAGATGAGCTGGATTCTCTCAAAGCCACATCAGGTTTGGCTAATGATCCGGCAGCGCTGGAAAGGGGGTGATTTATTCCCCGTAGAGTTGTGCAGTTTAATTCCTGCACGGTAGTATGGACAACACACAGAGCAGTTTGTCATGAGAGCATGGGCATGGGGTGATTTACTGACTAGATGAAATGTGGGATGGTTAAATCACCCAGGCGACTTCTGGCCTGATTTATTGCCCACCCTGGCTGGGAGCGTGTGTGTGCTCTCGGAAGCACAGTAAGGTACGTTTTTCTAGGGAGGAACCGTTAGCCTGTAGAGCCTGTAGCTCTGTCCCAGCAGCCCTCGCTGGAGGGAGCACCACTGCACTGAAACACAGCCCTGGGGTCTACTTTGCAGCTGCACCATGGGAAGGGGTGGACAGGAACGATCGGAGATCTCTGTGCCCTCCCTGCCCCCTCGGGATGCACAGGCATGCACCCGGGCACGCAATGATCTTTGCTCAGCTATGTCTCTTGTCTCTCCTGTTCCCAGTTACCCCTGATGAACCAGTGGAAGGACGAATTCAAAGCCCACTCCAGGGTGAAATGTCCCAATTCAGGCTGCTGGCTGGAGTTCCCCAGCATTTATGGCTTGAAGTACCACTATCAGCGCTGCCAAGGGGTAAGGAGACCGGAGGGCCGTCTGTCCTTCGCAGTGGCGAGCTCCTACACAACTGTCTACAGGGTAAAGCCCTGCTCAGGCCTTAAACCCTTGGGAAACCCTGGGAGATTAAAATGGGGAGGGCACAGATGGGCCAGGGCTGGTCTGCGAGGTGTGTATGAGAGGGACTGGGGTCCCTCCAGCTCAGTGTGTGGTCTGATCTGGGAGGACTGCAGACCATGGGTAACCGTTTGGAGGGGAGGGAGGGTATTACACACGATTCGTGTTTGTGCCTGCGTCAGAAAAAGCCTGTCCCTTTTGTGATCTAACATCCGTGCCTGCCTGTCTCTCCCTGCGCCGCACAGGGTGCGATCTCGGAGAAGCTGACCTACTCGTGCTCGTACTGCGAAGCTGCTTTCACCTCCAAAACCCAGCTAGAGAAGCATCGGCTCTGGAATCACTTGGACCGGCCAGTGCCAACCAGCAAAGCAGAAAACAAAGTGCCGAAGGCCATTGGGAAGAGCAGTGGCAAGAAAAGGTACCAGCTGGGGCTGGGCTGGGGGATGGTGGCATAGGGATGGCTGGGAGAAGGGGAACGTGCCCATCTCCATTCCCATGATCTGGACTGGGGAGGGGGGAGAGGTGTCAGGACGTTTGTCTAACAACCCCTCTTTAAACAAGCCCTCTGTGCTTTGCCCTAGAGCTGCTGAGAGTTCAGCTTGCCCCACCATCCATCCCAAACAGGCAAAGACGGAAAAAGCCGTGGCCCAGGACCACGCCGAGAATGGCGAGTGCCTGGCGGAGAGCCGGGAGAGCAAGGAGTTTCAGATCGCAGCGGCCGAGGCGATGGCAGCCGCCACCCCCACGGCGAAGTCCTCGAGCGGCAAGGATGCCGTGCAGCAGGGGGGCAGCCAGGCCTCGCTGCAGGAGGAAGACCCCGAGAGGATGAAGCACAGTAAGATTAGAGCCCGGGGCTCCGCTGGTTCAGGAGCCCGGAGAGGGGCGTCCCACGGGAAGGGAAGGGGCTCTGCTGTAGCCAGCGCTGCTGCGAGTCTCTCTCTGAATGTATCCAAGCCTTTTTTCAACATCCTGGTAATTTGCCCTCCCCTGGTTTCTTGCAACAGTGAGTTCCACCAAGAGTTAAAACCAGGTTGCAGATGTGCTAGAGGTGTTTCTATAGGACTGGTGGGATTGGAAATGGATTGAATTCCCTGCAGCGTACCAAGCTGCCGCGTTAGCCCGTCTGTTCTCGCGGATCGTGGCAGTTTAAGCCAGGGTGGTTCTGGCAAATCCGTTTTCCTGAAGTCTTGGGATGGGGGAGGGAGGCTCAGTCTGCCCGTTACCACTGCAGGGCTGCCACGCAGGGCTGTGGCTGTCCCCATGATGGCATGGGCCAGCGCCAAAGGGAACCACCACCACCAGCCACCTTAGCTGCCAAGGCTGTGGAAACCACGCGGCTTTTGGCACTAGGTAGAGCCACGACTTCTGCTCTTTGAACTGCCCTTGGATAGCGTTATTCCTCCTGGTTTTGTGGGGTGGGAAGCAGCATCCTGTTACTGTTTGGGGGGTGGCTACTTCATTCGGCAGCCCTGTGTTTCACTGTGGTAAAGGCTTCTTCAATGTCATCCACTCCTGACGTGGAGTGTGTGTCCACCCCTTGCCCCAGGACTGCTGGAGCCCCCCTGGCAGTACAGTTATTTGACCAAATCTCTCTCTCTGTTTCTCTCTTTTGAGTCAGGAAGGAAACAGAAAACTCCTAAGAAATTTACGGGGGAGCAGCCATCCATCTCTGGGACGTTTGGACTGAAAGGTAATACAGGGATGGCTCTGGCCAGCCGTAGGGTTGTGACTGCTCCCTGGGGTGTGTTTCAGGGAAGCTCCTTTCCCAAGAGCCCTCTCTGTGGTGGAGATACGTGCCTCAGAGCTTGGGGACATCACGCGGGAGGAGCTGGTGCCTTTGACCATAAGAGTGTGGGAAAGGGAATGAAGGGCAGCAGCAGAGCTGGCCCTGACAACAACCCCGTCTGCTCTGCTCGGGAGCCTCTTGCTGGGAAATGGGGGAAGAGAGGAAAGGACCTGGGAACGTCCAGCCTGTAACACAAGAGTAAGGAGCCACTGACATAAGCGAGACATGAGAAACGTCATCTCATCATCATCATCCCACCGTCCTGCGATGTCACAGTATCTCCAATAGTGTCGAAAGGATTTCTGCTGCGTAGAAAGGCTGGATGACGCATCCATCCCTCAGACGTTGTCTCCAATGCTGGTCGCCCACGTTCAGCAGAATGAATTCAAGGAGGAAGAGATGTGTGGCCGGGAGGCTTTCTGAGAGGCAGCTCAGAAGTTGGCTCCTTCAGCCTGACAAAGCAAGAGCGAGTGGGACTGTGGTCGTGCTCCATAAATGCACCCGGCTGGGCTGGAAAGGAGGGAGGAAACCTGGAGCATCCCTGGCACGAGAGCAGCTGGATTCAGACTGGCTGTGAAATTCGTTCAACCAGGGAAATAAACAGTGAGTTTCCAGGCGCTGCAGGAGGCAGCACCTTCCAGTAGGAGAGGCACTCTGGGGAGAGGCACTAATGGCTTTGAAGGAATTCAACACTTACTGAAGAGCAGGCTGGATGTGGTCTCTGCAGTTTCCTGTCCGCTGGCTCCTGGGAAGTCTGGACTCGTTTCCCTTCACTTCCCCACAGAGGCACCGCCATAGACTGAAACGTCTGCTGGGGGTTCCTGGAGAATAAGCTGGTCCCGCCGGTGACCCGCTGCCTCAATGGCGAGCGAAGATCGGGCAGACGTTTGCCTACATCCCCCGGGTTCAGCACGGCGGTTCGCTCCCCAGAGACAAGGGTGCTGCCAGCCCGTCGTGGGGTGCTGTCTCCGTTCAGAGCCCGGGTTTGCAAGAGCCGTGGCCCACAAGTTCAGGGGAGCGTGGACCCTCACGGAGCAGGCGTGGATCTGACCCTGGCACCCACCACGTTGCCTCCAGCACCTTCTGTGGAAGCGCAGGCACAGGGCTGAACTGCACGTGGATTTGGGGCGGGGGGTTGGACCCAGGAGACGACCCCCCTCCTTTTTTCACCAGCCTTTCCAAAGCATCCTTTACAAGTCGTGTTTTCTATTTCTTACGTCAGCCTAGGAACTGCTGAGGGATTCTGTGTGGCAGAGAGGGATCGGGCAGCCCTGCTGCTGCTGGCACGCTCTCAGCACGTGCTGAGCCTCCTCCTGCTCACTTGGGAGGATGCTCTGGTGGCTGGCAGCGATGCCTTTGGCAGGCTGAATGGGAAGCACGCGCTTTTCCCATGCAGTCGTGCGGGGATGAGGCGCAGACAAGTTGGGAGGCTCGGCGTGTCCGGGAGAAGCTGGCTGAGATCTTGGTGCCCTGCCTGCACAGAGCCCTGCCCTTGAGTTCCTCTCTGCTTTGCAGGCAGGCCTGGTGACAGTTGCCAGCATCCCAGGATGGCTGTGCCAGGTTTCCTCTTCCCCGTGTGCCTGTCTCCCGGTCATCCCTCCTCTCCTTCTGTTCCTTCCTGACCCTTCCCAGCACCTGGGGAGATCGGGAGAGACCTGTGTTCTTCGTGACAATTGCATACAGATCCAGGGACAAAAGATCCTGTGGGATCTAGTGTCTGGGATCCCAAAGTTTTGCCAGTTTTCCAAGGGGGACCCCAGTTCCTTGGCGTAAGCAGTTAGGCAGCCTTCCCAGTGCAGGTTCATCAAAAAGGAACATCCCTTTTATATCCCGAATTTACCGTTCCAATTCCCCCTTTTAGTGTTTTTTGCAAAACATCCTTTTGCCTCCCAGCCTGTCTTCCTCACAGTCTGCCTTGCTGGAAGCATCCTACCCCGCTTTGCCATGGTGTTTCCATAATTCATAAACTGCCTGGGTTGGGGAAATGATTCTGTTTACGAAACACCACAAGCTTTTATGATATTGCTTATCAGAATTACGGACCTGGTCCTGCACACACAGCCTTGGCAGACCTACAGCCAGCTCAGTGTCCCTGCGTTAGGGGTAGAGACTTTCTACCTGCTAAATGTGAGTTGGGCTGATGATATTAAAGCAAGTACTGAATAAAAACCCTCTTTCTTACAGGTCTCGTCAAAGCAGAGGACAAGGCAAAAGCCCATCGAGCTAAGAAGCTGGAGGGAAATGCCAACACGGAGGAGCTGAAAAAGAAACCCCTGGGAGCTGGTGTGAAGAAGGAAATGGCTGTGCACCTGCCGGCAGGTGAGGCTGGGGGAGGCTGGAGGCTCAGCCCCGTGCTCTGTGGGCAGCCTGCACGGTCCCCACCTTCACACCACGGCTACTGGTCCCCACACCCCTCCTAGCCCAGCGGGCTGTTTGCTGGGTGAGTTTTCTGGCAGATTTGTGAGCCAAAGCAGCCCAAAATCAGAAGTAGGAGCACGCAGCTCCTGCCTTTTTGAGGTTTAGTGCAGATGGAGGAACAGCTACTGCTCCTATAATATTGGTGCAGCCACAAATGGCGTCCCAAATGGTTCCTCTACCTTCACTTCACTGCCAGGACAGACTGTGTTGACAGTTGATAGCCAAATCCTGGTTCCACCTGGCTTCACTGTGACCACAGTTTGGGTCAGCATCTGGGATGATGGCATTTTTCTCACATCATCTCCATGAACAATGCCAGTGTATAACTCTGGGTGTGATTATGTCTTCCCTGAGCCTCCGAGGTGCAGCCTACACCCTAGTGCAGGTTGCTGACTTTCCCTGGTAGCAGGAGGAACGCAGGATGTGCAAGATAAACACAGCTGCAATGCCTTACACTGCTTTCAAATTCAAATAAGTGGCTCTCTGATCTCACAGCCATGCAGAAGCATCCAAATAAACAGACTTGGCGGATTTTATTCAGACCAAGCTTCCCTTGCTGGAAGCCCAGTGCTGTTCTGCTGAGAACACAGTGTGAACTCTGGACCTAGGAGCAGGTTTTGGCCCCATGTATCTCTTATTTTGGGTGTTTTTTAAGCCAGTCACAGCCATTCAAATAAACACATGCCTGGAAGTTAGCACTCCCCTAGCTGCCTGTGTGTCTGCTGGGAAGAGGAGTGCCAGGGAAGCTTTCCAGGCACACGTCTGGATGGAGCCGAGACGCTCACCTTTGTTTCACTCCCGCCAATTGTTTTGTTTGGCAGGGAGGAGTTACTCCACATAGGGCAAGATGAAGTGGTCAAAGGCATCATCATCATTTAACTCCCAGTGTGCAGGATCCCACCGGGGTTGGAAAGGTGAACCTCTTGTTCCACATGAAATGCCAGCAGGTCGGGTAACCCCACGTGAAGTCACCCAGTGACCCGCTTTGCTCAGGCAGCTGCAGGAGCTGTGGGGCAGGCAGAGCCACAAGTGCCCACATGGTTTGTGCCTGGCTTGGCCCATGCCTGGGAGAGTTATTTCTCTTTTTTTCCTTTTAACATCAGGAACTTTCCTGATTTAGTGCTTTTCAACGTAGCAAACTAAGGCTTGCGACAGGGCTGTCCTCTCTGGAGCAGCCCAGGCGGGTTGCTGTCTCTGCAACTGAGTGTAACATCTCTCCTCTCCCTCACCAGCAAACCCTGAGGACCAGTGGCAGCGGGACATCAGTGAGAAGGGAGAAGTCTCCTGTCCAACCTGCAGCGTTATAACCAGGAAAACTATTGTGGGACTCAAAAAGCACATGGATGTCTGCCAGAAGGTGAGGGCTTGCCTTATTCAATCACGCACGTAGGGATTTTGGAGGGGAATGGACATGTACGGGGGCTGCTCATATGTGTGTATTGGGAGTCCTAAAACCAGTTCTGGGGCTGTTTGACAGAGCGCTTGCTAGTCATCTTCAGAGAGTTGGCTGCCTCGCTTCGATTCAGATTCACAGAGGGATTTGGACACCTAATACTCAGCAATTCTGAATCCCTTTGTGGTCTGGGCTGTTTGCCCCGGTGTCTCCAGCAGAGTCGGGTATTTCTAGTAGCTAAAGGAATAGTTTGAAGGCTGGAGAGATTGTTGGGGTTGTCTCTAATCTGGCCTCCTCTGGAGGTCCTGGCTGCGGGATCTCTCCGTGTGCCGTGCCTTGCATCAGGCCAGATAAATTGTGGTTGAACGAGAGCACGTCTCGGGGAGAGACCGAGCTGGGATGTGCTCAGGCCGGCTGTCAGGACGCAGGAGTTCAGTAATGGTGCAGTGAAAAATAGTCTCTCTGCCACAGTGCCATCCATCAGAGCGCAGGATTACGTCTGCATCCGTCACCTGGCGCGGTGCAGAGCCGTCGCCACAGAAAGCAGACGTGGGATCGATGCCTCCTGCTTTGAAAATATGTGGCTCGACCTTTATATGTGGCTCGACCTTTATTCCACATTTATTTTCTGTAAATGCCGCCTCAGCCTTTGCCTGGCTATTTGTACACCAGTGGGAGGCTACTCTTCCTTTCAAACCCTGTAATACATCGATGCCAGGCAGAATCCTGCCTCCTCTGATGTCCTCCTGGCTTCAGCGGAGTGGGAATCTTGGCCATTGTGGCTCATATCTCCCACGCTTTGGAGCATCTCCCAAGCCAGGCGGGCTCCACACGGGCTGCACGGCCAGCCAGCCCGCTGAGCATCGCTCTGCTGCAGCAGTCGGGGCTGTCGTCCCCACTATAAATAGGCCAGTGGGTGTTCAGCCGAGGAATTGGGACTCCAGCCCAAGGAGCAAGTGTTTTGCCACCCTTCCCTGGATGGCACGCTCCCTGCCAGGGCTGGTGGTGCCGCTGCAGGAGCTGGAGTGCTTTGCAGCATCCCTGCCAGAGCAGCCCTTGGCCCAGGGAGGACAGTCCTCAGGCTCTGGGGTGTGCGACTCTCAGCATTTCCTCTCTGAGATGAACCTGTGGCACCTCCTCAGCGAGGCCCCACTGCTGCAGGCACGTGGTAGCCCCATCAAAAGTGACCTTGGAGTGCAGGCCCCCTCTCAGCTTGCTCTCTGCTTTAGTGATTGCAGGATGTCTTAGCTGGACAATGGGAAAAGGATACGCAGGCTCCCGAAACTCTTGTAAAACAACGGAAATTGATTCCTCCGTTCCTTGCTTTCTGTTCTGTTTTCTTTGGGTTTGGAAAGGAAATAAGGGATGGGGATGGTTGCAATGTGCTCAGGCCCGAAGGAGACGAGGGCAGGTATATCCTCCTAGCGTCCCAGGTGGGAGGGCTTGTTAGAACAGGGCATGTTCTTCAGTGTTGACTGGAGGAGTAAACCCCAAATTGGCTGCCATTGGCACCTGATGAGTAAAGGAACTTTTAGCATCCACCTTGTTAGGTTCAAGCGCTTGGGTCTGGAACAAGATTAATGTATGGGAGCACAGGTACAAGTGAGTCATTCCCAACTGGCTGCAGTGAGTGTTTTCTTCAATTCCTCAGAGCTCCAGGACAAGGAGAGATTTACAACTCCATCTTCATGCCCTTTCTAGCTTCTAGTCCAGACTTGATGGAAGGGGAAGTGGTGAAGGTGGAGCATCAGCCAGGCAGGAGGAGCAGGAAGGGCCACAGCTGTCCAGGCGCTGGCACCATATCGAGACATCCTGTCTCTTGGTGCCCAGAGTGTTCACCTCCTGAGTCAATAAATCCCAGTACCTGCTCCAGCAAAAGTCATGATCTGTTTACTCACTTTGCAAGTTTCCCCCTGTACGTTGGTGTGTGCATTTAATGCATCTCCTCGGTCACTCAGGAGGCCAAGTCAGGTCAAACAGCAAAGCAATATGAGATGGGAAGTATTGTGCTGTGATCATGTCCAGCAACATCTTAATTTCAAGCAGCCCAGGCACCCAGAAAGCATATTGTACACCAGCACCTGCCGTAGTTAATAGGGCTGCAGAGCACAGTCCGCTAACATATGGTTAGATCAAAGCGTCTACTCCTTTGTAACCCTTCCACAGGAAGACTAAGACACCAGGTCCAGATGTTTCCAGCCAGTGGGGCTTTAAATCTACATCCAAAATGCAATGTTTTCCAAAAATTGGGGCATGTGGGTTTGATAGCAGTATCCAGGACAACAGGGAAGACTCTGAGCTGCAGGCTGGGATTGGGACGGGGGACAGGGACCCTGTGTTGCCTGCCAGGTCCCACTGCTGGGCACTGCTGCAGCAACAGCTACCCGTGGGACTTACTGACCAGCAGCCCTTGGGAGAATGAACGGTGGACTGTCGCCTCCCTGGTGACTTGTCTTTAATTCCTTCAGCTGCAGGATGCCTTGAAGTGTCAGCACTGCAAAAAGCAGTTCAAGTCCAAAGCTGGGCTGAATTATCACACCATGGCCGAACACGTCAGCAAGGTAAGGGAGCTGGGCTGCTCTCCTCTCGCGCCTCGTTTCTCGGTGCAGATGCAGAAGACAATCAGCAGTCCACTTTCCTTTGTCTTTGTAAAGGAGGGATTCACAACACCACCTTTGCAGCGTTTCACATGCTGCTCAGTCCAGATATCAACCTTCCCCCTTCCCTGCCCAGCAAAGCCATTCCTTCCCAGGCAGCTAGTTAGACTCACGTTGATCCTGGGGAGTAGAGCAGAGGACTGGAAAAATAAAATAGGATTTCAAATCTCAGCACAGGGGAAGATTCAGTGAGTAGGATGAGGCAGATTTTGAGTGGCAAAACTCTGCCTCCAAAACTGTGCCCACAAATCTGGGACTGATGGGTTCTGCCTTGCACGAATCTCGAAGTGCAGCCGTTAGCTCTCCACCATGCGTGTGAGAAGTAGCCACAAAGTTTTATCGTTCATAAAATGTAGCAGGCACCAATTTAGATGCTGTTCTTGGAAAATCTGGTCGTGTACGTCTCCAAGATACCAGAGCAAGGCATAACATTTCTACGTGTCCTGTGCTTACCAGTTGTGACTTGTCTTTTACCTGTGCGTTAATCTCCTGCTCTTCAGTCTGGCTGGTGAATCCTCCGTGCAGGAGCTGCTCCTGGGTCTCTCAGCTGGCCCTTTGGGTGCCAACACAGGAAAGGCACGAGCAGATCTGACATGTAACGGCAAAGGCATTGGCATGCGGAAAAGCAGTGGGAGATCCGGCTCTTCTAACGAGGGGTTCCCCCAGCCAAGGGCAGCTCCTGCGAGGCAGAGGTTTACCACCCACTCCTGGCACAGAGGACATGAGTAAATGGTTGACTCTGTTGCTTCTGTTACTTCCTTGTTTCCAGCCTGTTCCTGTGGAAACCGCTGGACTTGGTGAACAGGAAGAACGGGAAAGGCTGAGGAAAGTGCTAAAGCAGATGGGAAAACTGAAATGCCCCAATGAGGTACGAGAACGATTCCTGTTTCTCGTTCTGTGAAAAGGTGGAAGGAGTGAGTCCGGATGCAGAGGGGAACATGCACTCTCCAGGCATTCCTTGGCACATGCTCGACTTGTCCGCCTTAGCTCAGCCATCCCAGTCCCGGTGCCTGCTGGCTCCGTGCGCTCCGGCAACAGCCCGTCCCGGCAGGAGGGTGGGTGCAGGGCAGGCTGAGGAGCACTGAAGGGCAGGTTCTGCCCCCTGGGCTCAGGAAGGGGCACAGCCGGCGCTGTCCTGGCCACAGCGTAAAACTAAACCAAACCACACCGAAAAACGCTCGCAAGCCAGTGGCAGACAAGTCACGAACAGGTAATGGGGGCGTGTGGCAGAGGTTGTCCCCGCGGGTGCTTTGCTCTCCATGGGGGCAGTGCCTCCCCGGTGCCTTGCCATCCCGCTGCCCGCCGTGCGTCTGTCCGCAGAGCCCTGTCGGGGTGCTGGGGCAGGTGGGGACAGGGGCTGCTCCCCCCATCCCTCCGTGGCACTGTCGTGCTTGTGTGTGGCTTTTCGGGGGAA